GTCTCAACGCCGGCTAAAGTGTTCGTCCCGTGGCTTCTAAAAAACCGACTGAGATGAAAAAATTGCAGGTCATGACTCGCTCGCATCGCGCAGCTTCCTCACACAGCTTCTTCACACACTCTTGTTGACAGAGGCGCGAGTCACGTGACACACGCCTTCGCGAAATGTACTCTGGGAAATGAAGTGCGGAAAAGCAGGCCGACAAGGAAATCAAATGAGGTGCCCCAATTTTATTGCATTGCTTTGTTTTGTTTTTTTAATAATTATGTTCAAACTGCATGGAATTGAGTGCAACAATTGATGCACGAGAGAACATATGAATCGACACCTGCTTTTTCCCCCTTGTTACAAAAACACAAACAGTCCATGGCAATTGATCACGCTATAAGGCCAGGTGAAATGAAGGGTTTTCTTTTTGTTACAATGCATCGCATTGCTCTTAAAATCTGGCGGTTTATTTGCTGCTCGCAGTGAGTTCATTGAAGAAAAAAAATGGTGGCGCGAAGAGGCCGAAATGATCATCGGCATGAATACTGCTCCGAAGACTTTGTTTTGAAAGAGTAAACTACTGTAGTCTGTGCAAATATAGTGAATATTTAGAGCATTTCCACATTGCTATTAGGATTATTTATCTCAATCATTTCTCATGCAATGAATGACCCTGTCGCACTCCGGATATTTGTGGACGCTATTTACAAACATGAAGCCACGTCAGTATTGCGATACGGTGGACGATAGTACTTGTGCCTGCATTCGTGGCCATGTATCAGAAGGCAACGAGAAAACAATTAGCTCTGTCCTCGCTAAAATCAAGTCATATCATATCACTCCATGAAATAATTCCTGACCGCGAACATTTCGACATCATTACGCCAACTGTCCCGGAGTTGACCTGAAGGCTTTGTATTGATACATTTTGTTTCATCACTCTGACAGAATGCAATTTCGGTGTCGAAGGGTATTGCCGCGTGCGAGGAAGCAGGTTTGCTGTTTTCCAGCGCTTCGAGCCATATGTGAGACTGACTTTCTTAACGCTTGAATTGGACTGGCGAAAGCCAGCGTAGCGGATTAGGGGGCAAAACAATGTCTGCCACACACAACAACATCAAATATTTACAAGTACTTGTGAAGCAATAGTTAGAGAATAAGTAAATAAAAATCCAATGTGGAGGGGCGGGGGGGATTTGGAGCACTTAAAAGACATAAATACATTAAAAAGCCTTCTCTGAAACTTAAAATGTAAAATTAAGTTTCACACCGACAAAAATCATCTTGTTTTCAAAACACTCTTAATTATAGCAGAGGCTTAGGGGCAACCCTTAGTGGCCTGAAGAGAGCCTATTGTGCGTTTGATGAACCCGTTGCAGCTCTCTCTCTTTTGTACTTTTTTTTTTTTTAAACACCCAGAAGTCTCACCGTTGATGTTGCTCTTTCCATCCCTCTTCAATTGTGGTCGTGTTCTGGTGTCAAGGTGCTGTCCAGTGTAAGCAAGGTCAGAATGGGTCTTTTTTTTTTTTTTTGTTGGAAGGTCAGAATAAATAGTCCCCCTCCTTGTTTGCTTCTTGTCCTTCCTTCAGCTACGTGGCAAACTGTTGATAAAACGCCAGTTTGACCCTCTCGATGTGATGGCACAGCTTGATGGCCGGCCCCAACTTCAGGTCCATGCACTCCTGCACCGTCGGCAGATTGAGCAGGAGAAGAGCCTGTCCGTCGATCTCCTACGGGCACGAAGTCGGAGCGTTGTTACGGCAGATCGGATTTACCCCGAGGCACTTGTGCGCGCGCGTTTCCCTGTCTATCTCTTACTTGGTCCATGAAAATGCGCGCGAGAGGCGCGCAGTCGGTCGTCCTGATGAAACGAACCACATCGGTCACACTCCACTCCAGGGGGCTGGTGTCCAAGCGCAACTTTTGAGGAGGTTCTGCCTTTGACGTCTGCGGAAGAAGATCAATCGGAGACACGTGGTAATCCGAAAACTCCCGCTTAAATGTTCATCTCACAATTATTATGTTATGATGATTTTTTTTTTGTTTTGTTTTTCAAACAACGACCTTTGGTGACGGAGGGTGGTTCTCATCGTCGGAGAAAGAGGGCGAGCGAGGTTTCCGCCGCCGCCGCGTGGGCCGGGGCGTCGCGGGCGGGGAAGGGGACGGCGAGGGGGGCTGAGACTTCTCCACCGATTGTTCCGAATCGTCTTGGAGATCATCTTGCGCTTCGGAGCCGGAGTCTTCACTCAGGGAGTCGTCTTCATCAAGGTCTTCCTCTTCGCCACTGCCCTGTGAGCCGCAGACGAGAAGGTCAGTGAGGGAAGGTTTTCAAGATTTGAAAACCAAGAATAGGCTCTTCAAAAGAACTCGATCATCTATCGGGAATTGGCTTATTGTTTCACTCTGATTTTAATCGTTGATATTGATGTTTTCCGTACAGCCCTTAGGCCAGCCTGCAGTTGTTCCACCGCTCTTGAAATCAACACGAGACGAGCGGTACGTCCGGTCGCGGCGGAGGCCGGGCCGCGGGAGGAAAAGTTACCTGCGGAGAGCCGGCGGGTGTGTTATCGACGGACGTCGATGAGCGTCTCTTTTTATGGACAAAGAGCTGTTTCCTTCTCTTCCTCCTCCTCCCTCTTCTTTTCACTCCGGCCTCGAGGTTTGTGTGGCCTCCGGGCGGGCGGCCCACACGTTTGCTCTTCTTCTTCCCGTAGTAATACGCTGCTGGGAAGACACCAGACCACTGCCGCATGCATTCCAGACTTCTGATTGCCACCATTGAGATTTGAGCACGGTTGAGCATTTCAATGAAATTGCAGAACAAACGCATCTGATACCAAGGTGATCAGAAGATGAGCGCTCATGCAAAACCAAGTGCAGTGGAACCTCCAACTTTCAACAATGCCATTATTGAGGACGGATGAATGGATGTTTTCTACACTGACGGTATATAATTATATATAAACAGAACTTTCTCACACGCACACACTCACACACTTAAAAGACACGCTATTTCGTGCAGTGGTTCTTAACCTGGGTTCGATCAGACCCCAAGAGTTCGGTGAATCGGTCTCAGGGGTTCGACAGAGGTTCTGCCGTGGAGGTTAAGACATACCCGACGAATTCACATGCATCACAGAACGTGATGGGACTGTGCGTCCTATCCGCACGATTTGTCACGCCAAGTTGAGCAACTCGAGTCTGGCACCGACCAGCAAAAGTGAAGGAACACTTCTCGAATCCGATTTTTATGTTTCAGTCACGAAGGCTTCGGTGAACGTGCATATGAACCGGTTGGGTTCGGTACCTCTCACGAGGTTAAGAAGCAGCCATTTAGAGTTTGGTGAACCTAGCATATGCACATGTTGGGACAAGGGCGGGCCTTTTGAATCCTCCCTGAACTAAACTCTCACAAGGCACGCCGATGTCTGCCATGATGTCACACACGCCAACGGTTCCGACTGCGAATGCAATTTTCACACCGAATGTTCAATTTCCGACGTCAGGGGCTCAACGAGACTCAACGTCAAGGCGTGAGCACGTCTCCACCCGCGTGGCGAATCCGCTTACTGTATTTGGTCTTGGTGAGGACGGAGCAATTTTCCGAGCAGTGCTCGAGAACCATGCGAGGCCCGAAGAGGTTGGGACAGCACTCTAACTTGATGCAAGTCTTCCGGCAGAAGTCGGCCACGCGGTCGGCCGTGCGCACGATTTCCACCGTGGCTCGGTAGCTCTTTCCCTTGTATCTGAAACATAGGAGGAGCACAGGTTGACTTGCGCTTGTCCTTTGGGTCGTCGCAGCGTCACGTGTGAGGTATACGAGCCCAGCCGCGAGCCCTCGCGCCGTCGCGGCCGGCTATTCCTTCTGAGGAGCGAGAGGAGCTGTCCGCGACACGGCGTTT